CAAAAGGAGGATGTGGCCCTGGACCCAGGGAGTGCTGGGATACCTGCAGCATTCCCTTACACTCCAGCCCAGAGCCACTCCAGAGAAGCACAGCTCAGAGAGCACATGGAGCAAACAAAAGGCACAATACATTTTCCACAGAGCTCTGGTCAGGCCCAGCCCAGCACCTGTGGCCATGGATTCCATCATCAGTGCCTGGTTTGTGCATGGAAACTTGGATCTGTCCGTGCCGTGGGTTACTGTAGTGTGTGTGTCAAGGTGTTATTTGAAAAGAAAATATACACACCGGTTGGGAGCGTTAGTTGCAATCCCTTCTTCACTACAACGGTTCATATCCTACAAGGACACTTCCTCAGCCACACAGGTACTTCTTGGAAAACCTACAAGTTCAAGAGAAAGGACTTGCCCATAGTATAAAGTGTGGAAACTTTACGTTCAGTTCCTGACCTTCCCAAGCCATGACCTACCCCAGAATGAACCGAGGAGCGGCAAGCGGCCCTGGGAATCGTCACTGCCCGACGCTGTGGGGTCTAGAGGTGCCAGCAAAACCCCTCTGCACAGCCTGTGCTGGGGCAGGGTCAGTCAGTCTGCAAGTGCTGCCACAGCCTGACACCTCAGAGAGTGCTTTGTGCTCCTGCAGGGCCCAGACAGACCCAGAGTGTGATGGAGAAACTCCAAGAAACGTGATTCCAGAGAGAAGAGCAAGATTTGGCAGGAGAAACACCTCTCTCCATGCCAGGAGCCAAGAGAAGAAGGATCAGTTTCTGCTGCTGCTGCCTAGCCCAACTTCTGGCTCAGCCAGGAACACCAGCAGTGCTCAGGCCTGACACCCCTGTGGCTTCACTGGGGAAGGGTCTCCTGCTGCACCCCCAGCCCTGCTCCTGCTGCCATCAGAGATCCCTCTGCCATCACCAGATCCCTGCTGCCATCACCAGATCCCTCTGCTATCACAGTTCCCTCTGCCATCACAGATCCCTCTGCCAGAGAGAGATCCCTGCTGCCATCACCAGATCCCTGCTGCCATCACAGATCCCTCTGCCATCAGAGATCCCTCTGCCATCAGAGATCCCTGCTGCTATCACAGTTCCCTCTGCCATCACCAGATCCCTGTGCCATCAGAGATCCCTCTGCCATCACAGCTCCCTGCTCCCAGTACTTGCTCCCCAGCCACCCCAGCAGGCTGCCACCACACTCCTGCCACCACCAAGTGATGGCACTGCCAATGTCCCCACCTGTGCCATGCCCCTGACCAGGCCTAGGGGAGCACTTGGACCTCCAGCCCCACTCGACCCTCACATTCCCACAGCCCCAGGGACCAGCCCAGCACCCACTGCCACAGAGGGAAGAAAACAAGTTCCTGGTGGAAAATGAGGAGTAGATGCAGCTTGTCCCAGCACTCCCAAAGAGATCCAGATCCTGAACGGGACTGCTCTGGCTCACCAAGCTTCAGTGCTGGGGAAACCCAGACTGCCATAAAATAGGAACCTCAGGAAGAGTGACAGGAAAATCACTGAGAGTAGGAGCAGCACGGAGAGGGCCTGTCAGACCTGGCAGAGTGATGGCAAAATGGAATTCTACAGGATGGTGAGGAAACTCCTCAAGAGAAGAAAGGAAGTGAAAACAGCTTTGGATGCACAAGCCTTCCACCATCCCAGGCAAGGGAGAAACACCAGAGCAATGGAATCCCAGTTGGAATCAATCCTGTGCTAGGATAGGAGTTGCCAAAAACCACCTCTTGTTGATTCAGGGTGGAGAAAGGGAATGAAAACCCACCAGATCATCCACCACAGAGCCCCATGTGCTGCTCACAAGCAGCGATGGGAAGCCAGCAGGAGCAGCTCTCCCAGGCTCCAAATGAAAACGCAAGCACAAGGAGCACCAAGGAAAAGGGAGATGGATCCCCATGGATCCAATCCACCAGCCTAACAAAGCCAAAGCCAGGCTTCCACCTTGGCTTTGGGAAAGAGAACCACAAGGTAAAGGCTCCCACACTTCATCACGGAGAGGAGTCGTTTCTCTTGAACATTCCGAGCTGTACCTCTCTGGAAGAGGAGAGTGTGCCAGAGCACCAGTGCTGCCTGCAGGCCACCCAACCACAGGAAAAAAAAGCAATCAATAATCAATAATCACCTTTAGCTCCCGCTTGCGGTTCCGGTCGCTGTTGGATTTGGAGTGCCGGGAGCTTCGTCCTTCCTCCACTGCCTCAAAGAGTTTGTCTACAAATCGCAAGGTGGAATCATCCAGGAAGGGTTTGAGATGGTCTGGAAAAGAGGAAAGTCCCATCAGTACAGAATTCTGAGCGTGAGGTGAGCAAGAGGATGGAGAATCCACATGGAAGATGTAAACCACTTCAGTTTAAGTGTGATTCAAGTCTAAAAGCACAGGGAAGCCTCTGGGATCTGTGGATTGTGTTGTCAGGAGCTTTAAACTAAGGGATTAAAGGGGTCCAGTCCATGCAGAAGCAAAGCAAGGCTGTAACGGGCAAAAAAAGCACACCAAAAAATTACCTTTTACAGTTCCTCAAATAAGGAATTAATTTTTCCTCATCAGATCTTTTAACACATCCCAAGGCCTCCAGTTGAGTCTGGTCTGAGGGATTTCCCCCTACTCACCTCGTGGAGGCTGAGAGAACTGCCCTGTGCCCCTGCACCTCCACCCTGGTGAGGTTTTGGGCTGTTTTACAAACCTGGCTGCGGACGTACCAGCCGCTTTCTAAAGCACACTAAAAAATTACCTTTTACAGTTCCTCGAATAAGGAATTAATTTTTCCTCATCAGATCTTTTAACACATCCCAAGGCCTCCAGCTGAGTCTGGGCTGAGGGATTTCCCCCTACTCACCTCGTGGAGGCTGAGAGAACTGCCCTGTGCCCCTGCCCCTCCACCCTGGCGAGGTTTTGGGCTGTTTTACAGACCCGGCTGCGCACGTACCGGCCGCTTTCTTCTTGTCCATGCCCTTGCCCACGCAGTTGAGCGCGGCGGTGACCACGGTGGGCTCCGAGAAGCCCAGCACACGCTTCACCGTCTTCTCGATCCATGGCTTCAGCTCGTCCAGCTCGCGCTTGGACAGCGACATCTCTGCTCGGGCTGCGAGGAGACACAGCGCGTCAAACACGGGCCTGGGGTGTCCTCACCCTCAGGATCAGCTCCACGGCTGGGAAAAGCTCTCGTGGGCTCCCCTGCGGGCTAAAACGAGGCAAACCCCGTGAGGAGGGAGGTCCTGACCCCACACAGGGGACGCAGGACCTGCTGTGGATCCTAGAGGGACACACCAGAGTGCTTCCAAAACCAGACAGCAATGCGTGTTCTCAGGATAACCCTTCCCACCCTGGCTCCTCCCTGAGCTCCCCATGTCTCTCTGTGCTGCCAGCCCGGTGACAAAGCCTCTGAGCTCCCCAAATCCCTCCATGGGATGCTCCAGGGGTTGGGAAGAGAGATGCACTGCGAGTGGAACGCGTGGGACAGAACCCCCCTGCTCCCACTGAGCCCACGCCAGGGACACAAAACAATCTGAGCCTCTTCCCCAGCGTGCAGCCCCAGATCTGGGCAGCTCCCTGGCAGTCACAGCCCCTCACATCCTGCAGCACTCACAGCCTGGGCTGCAGCTGCAACTGCTTTTAACTGGCTCCGGGCCCTAATCGGATCTGGGAAAATCTCCTTAGGGCTGAGCCCCACCGTGGCACCCAGGTGGGGCTGTGGGAATGGACACCTGGCACAGCTGTGCTTCCTGGAGCTGGGAATGGTGTTCAGTTATCCCTCCTGGAGCTGGGAATGGTGTTCAGTTATCCCTCCTGGAGCTGCGAATGGGGCCCTGGGGTTCAATGGGGTCCTGGGGTTCAGTTATCCCTCCTGGAGCTGGGAATGGGGCCCTGGGGTTCAATGGGGTCCTGGGGTTCAGTTATCCTTCCTGGAGCTGGGAATGGTGTTCAGTTACCCTTCCTGAAGCTGGGAATGGGGCCCTGGGGTCATCCCTAACACAGATCCCCTGATTTCAGGTCCATGAGCAGTTCCAGGAGGTGACTGCTGCTTCCTGCAGGGCCCCAGGAGCTGGGGAATCTGCACTGTCCTACCAAGCAGTCCTCCACAGAGGACACGGCTCTGGTTTCCCTCCAGAGCCTGGGAACCTCCTCAGGCTCTACTTTTCCTGGCAGCTTCCTTAGAGACAGGTTCAAATAGAGCCCAAACCCGGATTCTGGCATTTCCCCACGACTTCTGAGCCTGCACAGGCTAAGGACAAGCAGAACTAACAAATTACGGCCCCGACACATCGACAGCTCTGAGCATACCCATAATAAACCACAAAACTCGTGTAATTAGAGGCGGTCCAGCTTCCCCCGACCTGAGCTCCAGCAGGAGCTGAGGGGAGGCAGCGGCTCCCCGGCTGTTTCCGTGCCACACCGGGCGGGCAGAGCCACCGCGGGGAGCAGCTCGTGGGGATGCAGCTCCCGGAACCCGCATCAGGATCAATGAACGAGTCCGAGCACCGCCCGACCGCGCCGGGGCTCCGCCGCCCGCTCCGGCCTCACACAGACGGACGGACGGAGCTCGGTCCCACCGCAGACACGCGGCTCTTGCCGACCCCGCTCCCGCGCAGCCCCGCAGGGCCCGGCGTGCCCCGCTGCCGCGGAGCTCCGCCCGGGGCCCGGCCCGGCCCCCTCAGCGCGGCGCGCCGGGCGAGCGGCTCCGCGCGGGCCGGGCCCGGGGCCACCTCCGCCACCGCCTGCCTCCCTCTCGGTAGCCCGCCCGCTTTCCCCGTTGCCTCCACGCCCTCCGGGGAGCCGCAGTGTTCCTCACCGGCCCCGTTCCCTCACGCCGGTCCCGGGCCCGGCCCGGCGGCCCCTGACGGTGACGGCGCGTCGGGGCGGAAGCGGAAACGGGCGCGCGGCGCCTGCGCGGCGGAGCGCGCGGGAGGGCGGGGCCGGGGCGCGCGCGAACCCGGCAAGGGGCGTGGCCACGCTCAGCCCCGCCCTCTCCCCCTCAGACCGTCATTAACCAAACTCAATTAACGGGAACCAAGGCTCTTTATTGGGGCCGGCCGCTCCTCAGCAGCCCGGCCACGGGTCCTGGCGGGCGCTCCGCGCCAGGAAGGCGATCCTGCGCGCCATCTCGGCGCAGTACACCCGCCGGCACGCCTCGAACGCCCGCCGCCGCCGCGCCCGGCTCGGCTTCTCGTAGTAGCGGGAGCGCCGCACCGCCTCGGCCACGCCGTCCTGCGCCAGGATCCTGCGGGAGGGGAGAGAGCCGTGACAGCGGCGGGGAAGGCTCTGCCGAGCAGAGAGGAACGGGCACGGCTCGGCCCGTGCGGACCCTCGGTCCCCGTGCGGACCCTGGGCTCGGCTCAGTCCCGGTGTGGACCCTGGGCTCGGCTCAGTCCCCGTGCG